AAGAACCTGGAAATCCCAGGGGGTACCCTGACCATAACAGTTGGTAGCATACAAGGAATGCACATGTCCTAATAACATTTAGTGCACAGTTTTAGGAAGCTTTCAAAAGTCTTAGATCCCTGAGCCTGGCTGGAACACTGGCGAGGAATTAGGGAGGATCCTGCTTTTGCCAGCCGTGATGATGGACAGCTGTTTGTTTCTTCCACTACTTCTTTACTTTGTTTCTTATTCAGGAAAAAAAATAAGTTGCATAAGGAGAGCTGGTTCATACACTATAGCTTCTCCTTAAAGAGCTAGCACATTCGTGCTCGAACAGGAGAGCCTGTCTGTCATCTAGAATTACTCAATCTACTTTCTTACCACTTTAGTCTCTCAATGAAGCAATGTTCAAATGGAAAACTATGTTTTGGGGGCTTTTTTGTCCCCTTGGGCTGGGGCTTCCTGTCCAGTAATGTGGCTATTTCCATGTAGTAATTATATATTTGTTATGGAAACTCCCTTTTGAACCATTACTAAGAAAACTGTGCAATCTCCCCCCCGCCCCCCACCCCCTCATCTTTTAACAAATACATCGTACCAACGATACAGGATCTGAAACTTTATCTGTGGTCTTGTCACCAACAGAGAGGAGTTGAGGTGAAGCAATGTTTTGGTGGCCTGTTGCTACTAAACATTGCTCTGGCCACTCGTGCGTGCATGCGTGCGTGCGTGCATGCATGCACATATGTGGAGACCAGAGGCTGACATCAGATGCCTTCCATGATCACTCTCCATCTTATTTTTTGAGACAGCGCCTGTCACTCAACCTGAAGCTCATCAGTTTGGCTAGACTAGCTGACTAATGAGCTGCCGGGATCCTCCTGTTTCTGCTCATCATGTGCCCTGCGGGGAGGGTCTGAGGATACAGATGTGTGCCACCATGTCTGACCTTTATGTGGGCATCCAAACTCACAACCTTGTGCTTGCATGGCAAACACTTTTGTCCCCCAGCCTTTACCTTTGTCCTGTCACTCTTCATGGATTCATTTTTGTTTGTTTGAAAAGGGAGTTCTTCACATGATAAATTGCTTTGAGCCCTCAAACTGTCATAATCTGAAAGATGACACTGCTACAATTTCCTTACATTTCCTCTTTATCTAATCCGAAGCACACATCAAAACCGAGTCCTTGGTATGGAAATACAAGAGAACATCAAAGCTGGAGAATTTATTTTAGAAGCTGCTTCATAAAATATTATTTGCCTCAAATAAAACTCATCATCATAAATGAGATTGCCTCTGGTGGAATAATAATATGGGTGCAATTTGGACAGAGGGCCCTGGTCCACCGTCTTCCTGGTTTTATGAGCTATCCTGTTGCTGAGAACAATGGGGGAAGAGCAGAGACCTGTAAACTCTTTCCAGAATGCCACTGCTATGCTGTTTCAGCCATAGACCACCCCTCTATTTATGGTAACAGTCTCACGTCCCAGCTATCTTTACAACCTGGCTTCCTGGACGGTCCACAGGCAATCAAACTCCAAGACCGAGACTTCCGGCTCGGTTCTGTCCACTCTCCTCTGACTGCCTCTCCTTGCTGTTCTATTGCCCAATGCAGAAAGCCGTCCCTGCTGCCTCCTTCCCAAGCCTGATGCAAGCCAGCCAGCTCTTACTGCTTTAGGGCTTCCTCATCTCTCTGACCTGATGCTGACTGCGTTCTTACTTGACCTGCCTGAGAGCGTTCTCTTCCCCTTGTGCTATGTCTTCTTTAACCGTGCTGCTAGATTTCTTTCCTACCCAAAGTTGCCCTGGTGATGCTGCCTTTAAAACAGCTAAATACTTTGGGATGGAGTCCTACCTTCTGTCTTCCTCCCCAAGACTCCTGTCTCCCACATGGGAACCCAGAGCTTCAGAAGTTCCCTGCTATTCCCTCCCTCCCTCCCTCTGCCCCTTCCTCTCCTCCCTCCATCCCTCCTTACCTTCCCTCCCCTCCCTCCTTCCTGTCACTACCCACATAGACTATTGGGCTGGAAATACCCTCTTCACCCTGCATGAACCAAGCACGTCTCCTTTAAGGCTTGGCTAGTACATGGCCTTTCCCAATACTCCTGCCTCCTCCTCCCCCTCCTTTCTGAGGCACGCACCCCTCCCTTGTTTCCTGGGTGTCTAATACATGGCTTCCATGCAAAGGAGAGTGTGGCCTCTACAGCTGACTCACTGGAATCATCGACTTGGGCTTGAGTTATGTCTTCATCATTTACTGAATTCATATTCATTCTATGTTCAGAAATACTAATCTCAATAAGCCTCTATTTTAAAAAATCTACACTAGAGATAGTATTTATCACTTTACATTTTTTTTTTCTAATTGCTGTTTGTCTTTTTGAGACAGGACCTCACTGTATAACCCTGCTGGCCTTGGACTTTGGATCTTCCTGTGTGGGTTTTCAGCATGCTGAGATTATAGTTCGTGCCACAAAACCTCCCCTCGCTCTATGTAAGTAAATATGAGTCTATAAAAATTTTAATCAGAGCAAAATAATTGTCAGCATTTGATTTCTTCTTCTCCTCATCCCTCTCCTCCTCCTCCTTCTCCTCCTGCTTCCTTTTTGGTTTTGGTTTTTCAAGACAGAATTTCTCTGTATAGCCCTGGCTGTCCTGGAACTGACTCTAATAGACCGGGCTGACCTCGAACTCACAGAGATCCACCTGCCTCTGTCTCCGTGTGCTGGGATTAAAGGTGTGTGCCACCACTACCTGGCTACTCTTTCTTCTTTTTAAAACACTCTTCTCTCTTGATCTTACAGTCACAGTTCACATCAGTTCTTCCTATTATCCTGGCTGCTCATTTTCAGTACACTGTGCCTGTGTTCTCCATATATTACTGTACCTCAAGGAGCCGCCATGCCTGTCTGAATGCCTCTTCTTAGTGTATCTCCCTACTATTGGGGATCAACCCAGGGCCTTGCATGCTTGAATGCTCCCACTTAGCTTTATCCCCAACCTCTGTTTCTAATGGACCAACTGTAAAGCGTCACTTTTACTTTTCCAGAGGCATGCACAGCAAGACTAGTTATTGTGGGGGAACATGGAGTCACAGGCCTGTGCTTAGCGAATTTCTTCATGTGAGTCTTGGAAACACTACACTTGAAACTTGTGACCGTAGAAAGTTTGCCCTGTCCTGTCCTTCAGGTAGTTCCCATTGCTGAATATTTCCCAGTTTGTATTTTCCTTCCAGACCTCGGTGTTGGACTGCTGTTCACGCAGCCAGAGCCTCCTCTTCTGCTGCTGCTGCTTTTTTTCTTAAGCATTTTCCCTTTAGAAGCTTCTCAGGCAACATGTCCAGAAGTGAACCTTTAAATTTCCCTGCCAAGTATTTCTTGTCACGAAGGAAGCCACATTTTATTCAAATGCTGAAACCCAGAGTCAGACTTCTCCCTTCACTTCCTCTACCCCACACCAGAACCATCCACCTGCCCCTGCCTGCTTCTGCTTCTCAGGAACTGCATTGTCCCACTTCTCTTCCAGCGTGAGCATCTGTCTTCTGGTTTCCTGACCAGGCATCTGCCTTACTGGATTAGTCAGGGTTCTCTAGAGTTTAGCTTTTGAAATCAGTGGTCACAACCCCACACGGGGCTGTGAAACTGAATGGCGGTTGTGAGTCTGGCAACAGATGAGCAAAACTCATTCAAAATCTAAGGTGTTTCTGGAAGCTCACTCATCGTGGACTACACTGCAGCCTCGGGTCTGAACACACGGCATGTGTGCTTAACACTGTGAAACTGTAGCAGCACACAATTGTCAAACGAATGTTGCCTGAAGTACAATGCAAATTCAAGACAATCACAGGCTATGAATTGCAGTGCTCCCCCCCCCCAATAATTATTTTTAGTGTTTTTTTTTCTTATAAAAACACAGGGATTAATTACAGAAAGCAAAATCTTTTAATGTTTTTCTCTCAGTCATTCCTTACCATGTAAATATCAAATTAGTATGCCTGTAGATTCTGTTGTGCTCAAAGGCTGGATTTTTAAAATTGCTGTTTGAGTTGCTGGCTTGGTTTCATGAAAAGCCATCAGATTTTGGCTTTTGTTGGAATAGAATTTGCAGCAATTTCTATAAGGGCCCTAAGCATTTCTGCCATTTTTTTTTTTTTTTTATTACGAGTTTCTGTAAAGTGGTGGTGTCAGCATTGATGATTATAATACAGAAGTACTGTAAGGCATCAAGGGAAAGCTATTTCCTTCTGGTTAAAAGAATGGAATCCACCTGGGTGGAGATAAGCCATTGTCTCTTCCCTTAAGGGAATCTAGTTGGGCTAGTCAATTGCCTGGCTAAGGAACCACCCTCAGGAATGCAGATTCACCCAAAACCATGCTAATGAGCTGGGAGGAATAATTACCCTTCTGTTGAAATGATGTGCTTTCTCTTCCCAGAGCTCTACTCTTTATGTTGTTTACAGAGCTGAACCCATGGAGCTTTGGTCTACCTGTTGGTGGCCTTTCTGAATTACTCAAAAAGGCATAACTTTTACTTTCCTTAATCTCTTTTCTAAGAATGTTTCCCCTAAAACTTTTGGGCTTTGTCTTTTGCTAAAGCTCCCCAACCTCCCCACTTGGCTGGCTGCCGGCCCTAAGGCTGATTTCCACTCCAGGTGACTTCAGATGCTTCACTCTTTCTCTTCTCCATTTTTCTCCTCCTCTGGGCAATTGCAGAAGCTATAGCTTGTCTTCTCTGGGACTTTTTTTCTTATAAACAAATAAAATTATTCTCTAGCTTCCTGTTGAGTCCATTCACAATTTTTTTTTTTTTTTTTTTTTTTTTTTTTTTTTTTTTTTTTTTTTTTTTTTT